AAAAAAAAAAAAAAATCTACATTTGTAAGTTGCACTTTCATGACAAAGAGATTGCACTATAGTACTTGTATGAGTTGAAAACTACTATTTCTTTTATTTTTACAGTGAAAATATTTGTAATCAAAAATATACACTTTGATTTCAATTACAACACCGACTACAGTGTATATGAAAATGTAGAAAAACATCCAAAATATTAAACAATAGAATACCAATTGAAATTTATTTAACAGTGCAATTAATAATGCAATTAATCGCGATTAATTTTTTTTAGTTAATCACGTGAGTTGACTGCAATTAATCAACAGCCCTAATATTGATACATAGTGAGGACCAAATAGAAGAGCTGGTTATAGAGGACAACCTTAGTCCAAGTGACTATGAGCTAATTCAGTTTAACTAAATGGAAGGATATACAAAAACATATCTGCAACTAGGGTCCTTGATTTCAAAACGGTTAACTTTTAAAAAAAATTCAGGGAATTAGTTAGGAAAGTGAACTAGACTGAAGAACTCAAAAATCTGAATGTGGAAGAGACTCGGAATTACTTTAAGTCAAAGTTGTAGAAACTATTTGAAGCCTGCATCCCAAGCAAAGGGAAAAAATTCATAAGGAAGGGCTGCAGACTAAGCTGGATGAGAAAGCATCTTAGGCAGGTGACTAAGAGAAAGCAGACAGCCTACAAGGAATGGAAGAGGGAGGGATCAGCAAGGGAAACTACCTCCTGGAGGTCAGAAAGTGTAGGGATAAAATGAGAAATACTTAAAGGCAAGCAGAGTTGGATTTTGCAAAGGGAATTAGAACAGTAAAAGGTTCTATAGCTATATAAATGAGAAAACAAGAAAAGAAGAAGTGGGACCGCTAAGCACTGAGGATGGGGTGGAGGTTAAAGATTATCTAGGCATGGCCCAACACCTAAACAAATACTTTGCCTCAGTTTTTAATGAGGCTAATGAAGAGCTTGGGGTAGTGACAGGGTGACTAACGGGAATGAGGATATGGAGGTAGAAATTACCACATCCAAGGTGAAAATCAAACACAAATAGCTTAATGGGACTAAAAGCAGCCCAGGTAATCTCCATCCAGGAATATTAAAGGAACTGGCACATGAAATTGTAAGCCCACTAGCAAGGCTTTTTAATGAATCTGTAAACTTGGGGGGTCGCACCCTCTGACAAGAGAATTGCTAATACAGTTCCTATTTTTAACAAAGGGGGAAAAAAGTGATCCAGAAAACTAAAGGCCTGTTAGTTTGACCTCAATTGCATGCAAGGTCTTGGAACAAATTTTGAAAGAGAAAGTAGTTAAGGACATAGAGGTTAACAATTGGGATAAAATATAATATGGTTTTTAAAAAGCTATATTGTGCCAGACCAACTTAATCTCCTTCTTTGAGAAGATAATGGATTTTTTTAGTCAAGGAAATGTAGTAGAGATCTAATCTACCTGGATTTCTGTAAAGTATTTTATACAGTTCCACATGGGAAATTACTAATTAAATTAGCGAAGGTAGGGATTAATATGAGAATTGCAAGATGGATAAGGAACTGATTAAAGGGGAGACTATACCGGGCCATACTAAAAAGGTGAAATCTAAGGCTAAAGGGAGGTTACTAGTGGAGTTCCTCAAGGACCAGTCTTGGGACCAATCTTATTTAACATTTTTATTACTGACATTGGCAAAAAAAAAGGGAGAGTGTGCTAATAAAATTAGTGGATGACACAATGTTGGGAGGTATTGCCAATATGGAGGAGGACCAGACAAGAAGATCTGGATGACTTTGTAAACTGGAATAGAAGAAATGGAATGAAATTTAATAGCGCAAAGTGTAAGGTCATGCATTTAGGGACTAACAAGAATTTTTGCTATAAGCTGGGGACATGTCAGTGGGAAGCGACAGAAGAGGAGAAAGACTGGGGCGTATTGGTTGATCATGGGATGACTATGAGCCGACAATGTGATGTGATGTAGATGTGAAGAAGGCTAATGCAGTCCTAGCATTCATAAGGTACAGTATTTCCAGCAGAGAGCGGGAAGTGTTAGTACTGTTATACAAGGCACTGGTGAGACCTCATCTGGAATACTGTGCACAATTCTTGTTTCCATGTTTAAGAAATATTAATTTAAACTGGAACACGTGCAGAGAAGAGCTCCTAGGATGATTTGAGGAATGGAAAACTTACCTTATGAGAGGAGACTCAAAGAGATTGGCTTGTTTAGCCTAACCAAAATAAGGCTGAGGGGAGATATGATTGCTCTCTATATATCATTGGGGGATAACTTAAATAACTTCTCTCCCTCCCTGGTATTTAAGTACCAATGTGGACAGAAGAACAAATGGACTTCAAAGGAGTGAAGTTCTGGAACAGCCTGCCAAGGATTGGGATGGGGAACGGATGGATGGACAAAAAACGTAACTGGCTTGGTAAGTTTACAGAAAGGATGGTATGAGGAGACTGCCTACAATGGCATGTAGTTGATCTGCGACTGCCAACAGTAAATATCACCAACGGCTGGTGATGGAACACTAAGATGGGGTGGGCTCTGAGTTACTACAGAGAATTCTTGCCCAGGTGTCTGGCTGGTAGGTCTTGCCCATATGCTCTGCTCAGGGTCTAACTGACTGTCATTCTGATCCTAAATATAGCAGACCCCCTGGGGTTTTCGCACCTTCCTCTGCAGCATGGGGCATGGGTCACTTGCAGGTTTAAACTAGTGTAAATGGTGAATTCTCTGTAACTTGACGTCTTTAAACCATGATTTGAAGACTTCAGTAACTCAGCCAGAGATTAGGGGTCTGTTACAGGAGTGGATGGGTGAGATTCTGTGGCCTGCAATGTGGAGGTCAGACTAGATGATCATGATGGTCCCGTCTGACCTTAAAGTCTATGGGATAAGGAACACTCTACTCACAGTTAATCAATGGGGGAACATTGCAAGGAGATCCTCAGACTTTCACCCTTCCTCAGGATTTCACTGCTACCAGCTGAACTAAAGACTAAAATGAAAATGGAGCTACAGTAGATTTATGGGCCTAATGTTCCTACTTAACAGGCAGGGATGGGATGGCAGTCAACACAGAAATACATTTTAACTCTATAAAAAGATTCTTTTCCACCTACTCCCCTGTAAAATACCATGTGAAGTTCACAAAGGAATTTTCTTAAAAATAAACTATTTACAAATTTATTTCTGTGCTGGATGCCCCACTACAACATGAATAAGGAGCCCATCCTACCCATAAACCTGGAATTAACTCAATTTTAATTTCTGAGCTTGCTGCTCACCTTTAAGTAAAAGGATAATGATCAAATCTTTTCTTTTAAAAACAAACCTTTGTCAATATCACAGAATACAGAAAGAGCAAAACTCCAAATTTATTTGTCCACACTGTATACTGATCCCACATGGCATCCTTTAGTTCTGGAAAGCTTTGGAATGATTGCTTGCTGAAGACACACACAAAAAAAAGAGAGAGAGAAATAATTTAGATGTAGCATTAGAATAGTGTAAAAAGTAAAGAGAATCTGAGGTCCTAACATTAA